ATCTCAAAACAAAAACAAAACCACCCCACAAAACCCAAACCAGTAACTAGTACGTACAGGCATATGAATTCCAGGGCCTTTCCTGTGACTGGCTCTAAGGCCTCCCTACCCCAACCCATGACCACACAGAGGCTCGAGGCTTAGAAGCCACCCTCTCTTCATGCTGCCAGGACACTTTATCCACCCACAGTTCCTGTGAAGGCACTAAGTATTCTGTGGGTGCTATGTTCCACCACCCGGGGACCCCCAAGGTCCACCCTAGCCCTAGACAATGGTGGATCTGCTTCTTTAGGAAGTCCAGTCTCTCATTCATGACCATGGGATTGGAGTCCCCAAACCTTCCACTATGGTCACTGGTGGCATGGTTCCTGAAACAATGAGGAAGTAGCCAGCTCAACAGGCCAATACCAGACCTATCCTGCTGAGGCAGAATCACCAGGGTCCTGCCAGCTAGACTGGAGTCCTGCCTACCTGCCCCATCCTGTAACCTTTGCAGGTTGCAACAATGAACAGACACCAGCAGGGACTGGGAAGAGCTCCGTCCCTTCTCAACATATCATCGCACTGAACTATCGACTCCAGAACTGTGCCTTGCACCAAGCAGAAAATGAACTCACAGTGGCTATCCCACCCACCAAAAAAATTGGCAGAACATATTAGAAGTGGCTCTGTCCTACAGACCCAGCCATTAGTCAGCCACACGGTGAAATGACACTGTGTTGAAATAAACAGAATGCATTTTGGAGCATGTTTTAAATTACATCTTAAAATTGATTTATTTTGTATGTGTATGAGTGTGTGCATGCCACAGTGTGCATGAGGAAGTTGGAAGACAACTGGCAGGAATGGATTCTCTCTTTCCACGGGGACCAGGGGACATTGCTCAGGTTATCAGTCTTGGAGATAAGGGCCTCTACACCCAGGGCCATCTCACCAGCCCAGGAGTGCTGTTACACTAACACCTAACTCAAGCCTTTAGACCATGACAAAATGAAAGGCTGGTAAAACTACCCAAGCATCTTACAGGGAAGCTGTCTAAAGAACATTAAAGAGAATTTTTTTTTAGAGCCTCAAGAGATAGTCAGAGGTTAAGAGCACTGGCTGCGGGCGGTGGTGGTGCACGCCTTTAATCCCAACACTCGGGAGGCAGAGACAGGCGGATCGCTATGAGTCTGGTCTATCGAGTGAGTTCCAGGACAGGCTCCAAAACAATACAGAGAAACCCTGTCTCGAAAAACCAAAAAAAAAAAAAAAAGAGCACTGGCTGCTTTTACAGAGGACTGGGTTCGGTCCCCAGCACCACACAGATTTGAAGTTCTCTTCTGGCCTCTCTGAGTACCGGGATCATCCACAATACACTTAAACACATGCAGGCAAAACACTCATATACATAAAAAATTTAAGGGGGGCTAGGGTGTGCAGTGGAGCACACCAAGATCAGGGAGGCTGGATTGCTGCGAGTTTAGGCTAGACTGGTCTATATTAGTGAGTTCCAGGACAGCCAAGGATACACACTGAGACCCTGCTTCAAAAACCAACCAAACCAAAAAGAAGGCCTGTATTCTTTTTTCCCCTCAAAACAATGAAAATCATTATGCGTATTTAGTGTGTGTGCGTGCACACATGCCACAGTAGCTCAGCATGCACGTGGGGGTCAAAGGACAACTTAATAGCTGGCTCCTTCTTCCCATATGTGGGTCCTGGGCTGTAAGCTCTTGCCCCACTGAGAGTCATTCCACAGGCTCAAAAAGAACAATGTTCTAAGGAGGGTTAACAAGTGAATAGGAGCCTAGGGGGCCCACACATAATCCCAGCACTCGGCAGGAAAGTGGAAGAATTCCAAGCTACCCTGGGCTAGAGAGTGAAAGGTGCCTGAAGACTGAGATCCAGACAGCTGTGTGGATGAAGGCTTCTTTGAAACCATCGGCATGTAAAACCACAGGTGAGAGAGAGAAGAGGAGGCAAAGCCTCACCCTAAACTACTAAGGAGATGGGAGAGAATCACACATCTGTACACAAACCACTAAGGGTGGGCCTCTGAGGGTCAGTCTGCTCGTTCCTGTTTCCAGAGGAGCCATGGTATGAACAAGATGGCACCAAAAGCATCGACACCGCCGGGCGTGTCCTTTAAAATCCCAGCACTCGGGAGGCAGAGGCAGGCGGATCTCTGTGAGTTCGAGGCCAGCCTGGTCTACAAAGTGAGTTCCAGGACAGCCTCCAAAGCCAGAGAAACCCTGTCTCGAAAAACAAAAACAAAACAAAAACAAAAACAAAAACAAAAAAAAAAGCATCGACACCACGGACAGAGAGGCCCAGCTGTCACGCCTACCATGATCAACCATGACAAGTGAGTAACACAGCCACTTACATCATTCTGTTCTCATCTAAGAACAGTGATGTCCACTTTAAACTTCACTAAGGTGCAGCACAAGAGAGCAAAAACAGGAGGAAACAAAACCCAGCACATGGTGGGCATGGTGACACATACCTGTTTAACTGCAGTATCTGGAAGGTATAAGTAAAAGGATCACTACAAGCCAAGGCAAGCCTGGGTTACATCGAGAAATCCTATTGCAAAACAAAATTTAAAAAGAAACAAAGTAAAAGCTTTACGGAGAGCAAGACAGGAATTGGTGGCTCATGCCTTTAATCCCAGCACTTGGGAGGCAGAGGCAGGTGGATTTCTGTGAGTTCGAGGCCAGCCTCCAAAGTCACAGAGAAACCCTGTCTTGAAATACCAAAAAAAAAAAAAAAAAAAAGGAAAGAAAGATTTTGTGTGTGTGTGTGTGTGTGTGTGTGTGTGTAGAGAGAGAGAGAGAGAGAGAGAGAGAGAGAGAGAGAGAGAGAGAGAGAGAGAGAGAGAGAGAGATCGTGTGCTTGCAAGAGCCCTTGGAAATTAGAAAGAGGTGTCAAATACCTTGGGACTGGAGCTACAGATGCCTGCATCTGCCTCCCAGTGCTGGGATTAAAGGTGTGGGCCACCAACGCTCCGCTCTACAATATCTTTTTTAGAAAGTGTTTAGAGGCAGCCTGGGTTATATGCAGAGTTATAGTAGCCTGATAAAAAGGACAGGGTTTGGGGAAGAGCTGAGGATATAAGTTCATTGGTAGAGGCCCTAGGTTTACTCCTAACGGAAGAAAAGGAGAAGCGGAAGGGCAAAGCTGGCAGGGGTGGCGCCACATGCTTGTCATCAGAGTCCTTGGGCCTGGAGGCAGAAGGCTCAGAGGGTCACTGGTCATTCTTACCTACATAGGGACCTCGAATAGCCTGGGCAAACCATACTCAGTCTCAAAGGGGGTTGAGTGGTGGCTCACTACCATCTCTAACTCCAGTTCCTGGGATCCAATGCCCTCTTCTGGTCTCCAAAGACACTACATGTTGGTGGTGCACAGACAGACATTGAGGCAAAACACACATCCACAGCAAATGAAAATAACTTAAAAGGGAGGGGCAGGGAAGGGAGCAGTGAATTTTCCTAGGGCAATAGGGAAAGTAGGAAGGGGCGGGGAATGATGGGCAGTGATGGTGTTAGGCTGTGGGCATGAACAGGAATCTGATGGAAAGAAAGATTTCAAACAAGACCCGAGTGAGGACAGAGACCAACCACCGTGGGCATCTTCAGGGTCTGCCAGTGGGAAGTGGCTAGGCTGTACGGGGAGACGCTTTCAGCTTCCGCCAGGGAGTCAAGCTGCATTGCAGGAGGCAAAGGCAGAGCAGCGATGGCACATGAGCACTATAAAACACCCCTTCTACTAGTATGTCTTTCAGACTGTAAAAATATCTCAAGTTTCCATGAGCTGACCATGAGAACATCCCTTCCAGGATGAGTGACACAACACCAAAGGTCCCACTCACTCCCACACAGCCACGAACTCCCCCAGGAGCCAACACAGTAGAACCAACAGGAATCGGCTTGTAATTAAGAAAGTTGGAGAGGACAAATGACCAGCCCAGGGTTTCAGCCTAATTACCACAGGTGGGAAATTTTAAAATTCATATCTACAGAATGTCCAGGTGTTCTGCCCATAATCGGTTACAACAAAGACCCAACGCTCTGAAAACAGGACCTGGCCACAGAGGACTGTGTGCATTCTGTGAGACAACTGGGGGTAGCTGACACCACATGGTGGATGAGGTCAGCAGGCCTGAATGGAACGCAGCTCACAAGGCAGTAATTTTGGGGTAAAGATGTAACTAAACAGAGAGGAGGAGAAACAGAACAGGAGCTGAAGACACTATCTCTCAAGAAACATGTGCAGTGTAGTACCTAAGGATGATAAGGCCAGCTAGTGTGAAGTCTGTAACAGCTGCTAACCACTCACTGTAGAACACAGAGCATAAAGCTGGGCAGTGGTGGCGCAGGCCGTTAGTACCAGTACTGAGGAGGCAGAGGCACGGGGATCTCTGAGTTCAAGATCAGCCTGATCTACAAATCCAGGTCCAGGACTGCTAGGGCTGCACAGAGAAACCCTGCCTCGGAAAAAAAGAAAGAAAAAAAAAAAAAAAAAAAGAAAGAAAAGAACACAGAGCATAAAGCATGGCCTGGGTTGCAGTGACTGGAAAATGTAGAGTATGCATCACTGTTTAAAAAGAAAGGCAATAAAGGGAGGGCTGAGGCGTTAACAGCAGGACAAGGCCCCAGCATGAAGAACACCATGTTTTGTGTACTCTTCCATCTACATGACTTACAGACATAAATCTGTATGCCTAGGGATGGTCACAGGTCTGTGGCCAGTATTCTGATGCACTACAGGATGACACAGTAATGCCAGCATCCCCAGTAAACGATTATTTACAATGCAAGTATATTTCATACAGTCCACTGAAGTTTAAATTTCTAGGGCAAAAGAAATGTCATTAGCTTGAAAGCATTTACCTGCATGGCAAACAAGAGGCCACACTGTTGCGGTTACACATTCATTAGCTTTGTAAGCAACGCTGGACGCTTGCCAGGTGCTGCCTTAATTCCTCTGCCTGGCCTGCATGAGGACACACTCACCTCCATAGTAGAGTCCTGTAGCAGTGCACATCCGCCACTGTCCCTGATACATCCCTGCTCTGCTGGGACTGCACATCTGGACGCTGACATCTGCAATCTCTTGGGGCTCTAGCGATCTCACCATCACCATGTTCACGTGTCCAAACTGGTCTCCGCCGACATATTTAAGACAAACCCCTGGAGGCCAGGCCTCTGCCCCTGAGTTCAAGCAAAAGAAAAAAGTGTTAGGAAATCAGTCATCCGGTGCTGGAGTTTCTTGTTGGACCGAGGAAGTGGCCTCTTCATACGCATATATCCCTGAGCAACAACAATGTCTCTTACCACTCGGCAAAGGGAACTCCGAGAGTGGAGAAACAGATGACCCCAGAGCTCACCTAACAGGAAGAGAAAACCAACCCCCTGTTTGTCCTTTGGTGCCCACACCTATGCACACCCACACACAGTGTTTCTCAACCTTCCACAGAGGCTGCCTAGGACCCTCAGAAATATCATACCAGTGTCAAAATTAGTTATGAAGTAGCAATGAATTTAGTTTTATGGTTGAGGTCACCACACCATGAGTAACTGTACTCAGGGTCTCAGCGTCAGGAAGGCTGAGGGCCACTGGCTTAGAGGTCTGTTTACTATTTTTTTTATCTACTATAAATGAACAGATCTTCCTAGGACACAAGGACGGCTCATGTACTTTATGACTGTGGAAATTAGGTTCCATACATGATTAAGGCAGTAATACTCTCTTATCACACACTGTTGCTTTATTAAAAACAAAAAACAAAACAACCCCCACCACGCTGTTGTGTACCAAATTTGAGATAATAGCATCAAAAAAGTCAAAAGCCTGGTCATGACCACAAGTCTGGAGCAGCAAGGAACATGTATAAGTCAGTGCACAAGAAAAACCCCATGGAGAGCTCCCCAGTAACGCTGGTGTGTGCAGGCTGCTCCATGGAGACAGTCACAAGTTCCTTCCCACACCTAAGAAGGCAACTACAAAATGCTAAACTGTGATAAGTCAGCTCAGGGAAATACCTTCTCTGTAACCAGTCTGAAAAGAAGAGACAATGTTGCCTGCTTTAATGATCTGAAGAAGAAAATGGGATGGACACAGGACAATGTTGCAATCCCAGTTACATGGTGACACTGTCTCAGGAGGGAGAGAAGGAGCAGTTGTTCTTTTTCAACTTCCTTTGCAAAGTCTAGTTTCATTTTCTTTTCTATGAAGCACAAAACATGCAGATGAGAGTGAGTATGCTCAAGTCACTCTCATGTGACAAGCACAGCTGTCACACCCAAGAGAAGCTGTTGGCAAGTGTCAATTAGCCCTCCTTGGAAAAACTAAGAAGCTCTGAGTTGATTACAAAGAAGATTCTGTCCACTTACAGTGTGTGTGTGTGTGTGTGTGTGTGTGTGTGTGTGTGTGTGTGTGTGTGTGTGTGTGTGTGTGGAGTGTGTGTGTGTGTGTGGAGTGTGTGTATGGAGTGTGTGTGTGTGTGTGTGTGTGTGTGTGTGTGTGTGTGTGTGTGTGTGTGTGTGTGTGTGGAGTGTGTGTGTGTGTGCTGGCCCCAGGCCTGGTGCATTCAAGGCGAATTCTACCAGCCAAGCTACATGGACATCCAGTTCTACTTACATCTTTACAGAGAATACTTCTAATTTAAATACTAACCTCTGTTTTTGGTGTAAGGCTTCCAAATATTCTATAACAACAACAACAACAAAAAGTGCCAATCCTACAAGCATGCATCTACAAAGCTAAATGCCAAAGGGCTGCTTTATATGATAGTTAAACTCTCTGGGGAAGTTACTAGGACAGCTACATGCAGTTATTATGTGTCTCATTTGTGGTGCTAGAGTCTAGTACCTAAAACAAGACAATTGCTATGCATTTAACTCTCTCAAGTGAACACTTTCCTCAAAAAGCAGGCTATTCGGGTCAAGAGACCAGAAATGGCGGGTGCCTACCCTAATCTACTGCTTTGACATTCTACTTCCTGAAGACACCAGCAGGACTGGGGCAATGCTGAGGAACCAGCACATCCATGTCCTCTAATAATTCTCTCCTGCGCAGTCCCCAATGCAATGGAAAGCATTCAGGCTGTGGATATAAAGCTACACTACACCATCTTGAAAGAATGAAAAGCTTTTTGTACACAATACCTTGAAGAATAAAATCTCAAGCAATTGCTGTCCAACTTTTCAAGAGGAATTCAGATACAAGAAGTGCTGGGAGCCAACAGCACTTACCCCAACAATGAGGTCAAGGTGAAGGCAGTTTTGGTGTTCTGATCTGGTACTCCAACCATCACAGACAACCTCTCCCACTCCTGATAGACACCAGGCTTTACAGAAAGCAGAATAGCTACTCTATAACAATCAGGTTTTATTGTCTTGAGAGAGTCTCCTGTCTGTCCTTCTGCCCGCCTGCTTCTTTTCTTCCCTTTCCTCCCTCCTTCCCTCCCTCCCTTTCTCCAGCTCAGGCTGGCCTGGTCTTCCCACCTTCAGTTTCCCAAGCACTGGGATTAACACCACACCCAGCTTCCTCCCTCTCATAAATACAGCCTTGTAACAGGCTGTGGTAGCCCACATCTATAACCCAAACTAAGGAGGCTGAGGCAGGAAAATGGTGTGCTTGAAGCTAGTCTGACATACAGAGTAAGACCCCATCTCAAAAAAAAAAAAAAAAAAAAAAAAAGCCAGAGCCCAAATAACCAGCTGGGCAGGGCTTCACAGTAAGCCTTGTTTCAAAACAACAAAGGCTGGTGAGGCGGCCAAGTGAAGGAAAGTTGCCTGTCCCAAGCCTGGACACCACGGTTAATCCCCAGGACCCACACGATGGAAGGAGAGCGCTGGCTCGTGTGTGGCACTCGTGCACACCCATAATACAAAATCAATGAAATAAAAATGCATGTTTGCTGGACGCACACCTTTGATCCCAACACGCAGGAGACAGGGGCAGGAGGATCTCTGTGAGTTCCTGGTCTCAGAATGAGTTCCAGGACAGCCAGGGCCACACAGAGAAACCCTGTCTGGAAAAGAAAGACAGACAAGACAGACAGACAGACAGACACAGAACCAACAGAAAACCAGATATATGTTTGGAAAACATATTTATTCTATAATTCTGTTTGCATAATTCTGGGAAAAAATATGATGGAGAAGCTAAACTAGAGATTATTTATATTTAATGTACTTTAAAACTTTAAGGTGATCTGGCCTCGGGGTTCTAAAATTCCAGGCTGCCTAATGTCTGTGGGTGACAGTTGAGCCAGACCACCTCTGTACTGGAGAGACGCTGGCAACCTCTTCACATTCGTCTTCACTAGTGTTGTAAGCAAGTTCACTCAGGCATGTTTCAAAACATTCCTAGGAAATGCTCTGACAAATGAAGGTGTCCCTGAGAGCATCTGCACCCTCAGCACCATGAATAAATGTCAGATTAGAGTTAGGACACTGAGATCTCGGGTTCCTTTTCACCTATGTCAAGTGAGCCTTACGCCAACCACAGGACCAGGTTAAACTTCAGGGTAGCTCTCTGTGCTTAGCATCGCCCTACCAAGGACAGACGGGGAACCACAGCTTAGCCGCCAGTCGTAACACACACCTGTGCAGGAGTGGGCAGCAAAACAAGGATGAGAACAGTCTGCATCTCAGTACACTGGGAGGGTTCAAATGGAACAAAGGCGTGCACGCATCCAACAGACCCACACTCAGCAGTGCACACGCTTCCCCGCCACACTGCAGTGTGATGTGATCTTAAACTACATGATTGTAAATCATTACAAACCTGTGTCACAACACAGCTACGATCCTCATGTACTTTAGAGTTCGTCTCCCCTCAAAAGCCATTTCAAATTTCACCAGAATCTAAATGCTTATTAAATTCATGCTTCCAAAATAAAACTTTAAGATGAAAAAGAAATTAAGTAAAACAAAACAAAACAAAAAAAAAGAAAACCCAAAACCAGACTTTGGCTGATAATTTAAAGAAAAAACAAAAACCAGAAAATCTGAGTATTTTCCTGTGTCACCACAAGCCTTCAAACAATGCACTGCTGTCACAACCAGGAAGAGGGCTCACAAAACATCACCAACCCTGGCTGCTCCATTTCAAACAAAACAGGTTAGCTTAGCCAGAGTTTCCCCCATCACAATGAACTAAATTACAAAGAATTAAAAAGAAAACTGAGTCCAAAAAAGTAATTGTTTAAAGTCTGCTTAGGTCCCCTGAGTTTTATGTCACTCATAACAAATTACCATGATAGACAGGGTACTCACTCACTAGTCTTAGCTAACTAAAAACCACTCTTTACCTAGCTCTCCATAGCTCTTCATTACTGAGCACGTTAAAGCACCTTCAGGCAGGAAGCACAAACCTCCACTAGATGGGACAGAAAGACAAACTCAAAGATGTTAACAAGCAACACATACCATGACCGGCTCACTGTTAACAAACTACAGTCACCTTATGTACCAACAAGCCAAAACAATGTGCTTTACTTAGTCACCTTTTAGTGTTCGTTTTTTTGTCTGAGACTGGGTCTCACTATGGAATTCTGGATGGTCTGGATGTCATTAAGTAGCCCAGGCTGGCTTCAAATTAGCCTCTGCCCCAGAGTGCTGGGATTGCAGTTAAATGCCACTGTAACGGGATTGCAGTTAAATGCCACTGTGCTGAGTTACAATGTGCTGTATTAAAATGACTTCTGAACTAATTCCCACACTCCTTACCCCATTTGTCAGAGTGGTCTAATGCCTCATAGACGCTAGTGCAGTTTCCAAGAGTCCTGTGGCTGCACAGAAAAGAACTCTTCCCAACACCCTGCTCGAGTCAAGGAGGCACCTTCTCTGGCTGCTGGGGAGGATGAGTGTTAATGAGATCAGAAGTGACATCATGGAGAACTTCATGGGGAAACAATACTCTACCACACACAGGCCTAGTGTCTAGTAGCAAATGAGTGTTAGATTGTGTCTGGATGCAGCAGCAGACTAAGCCTTCTTCCCATCTGAGATAGTTCACTGGCGTCTGGTCATTGAGCCAGTATAAGAAATTATACACTATGTATAAGAAAAGGCTCAGTCAGGGCATCATAGCCATTCCCTTCTCATTCTATTAAAAAAACAAACAACAACCACCACCAACTAAAAAACCAATCAACGTAGAAATTCCCACTGCACACTTACCAGAATTCTGGATCCGCCATGTTTTTATAAACTGAGTATCAGGAGGTATAGACTCCCCTTCTCCTATGGTGACATCTTTTACAAAGGACATAGAGGGCACACTGATATTTGGGCTCTCAAAGTCATAGTAAGCGCCAATTGCTGCTTGCAAGTTCCTAAAGATAAAAAGACAAAAGACGTCAGTTCTGCCTAAAGGATTTTCTTTTTATTTTATTATTATTTATTTATTTGCTTTTTTTGAGACAGGGTTTCTCTGTATTGCTTTGGAACCTGTCCTAGAACTCTCTCTGTAGACCAGGCTGGTCTCGAACTCAGAGATCCACCTGCAAGCTTTCACTGATCACTGCTCAGAAACAATTAGAAAAGCAGGACCCACAAACTTATGTGTCCTTTTCCTTGATGATGCTGCAGTGTAAAAACCACTACTTCTGTGGAATTTTACTTTAACTAGGCAAAGATGTGTTACATTTGTTTATGCTGTTTTTGTAATTTATGCTGCATTTGTTTAACCATGCAAAGATATGTTGCTTTGCCTGCTTAAGGCACCTGAACTAATAAAAAGCTAGGCAGCTGAGGGATAGACGGGGCTGACAGACAGATAATAAGCAGGAGGAGGAATCTAGGCTTGAAGGGAGAGAAGAGAACAAGGGGAAAAGAACAAAGGGCGGGCGGGCCAGGGCAGCCTCCAGCCAGCTAAACATGGAGGAAGCAGGAAAGTAGGACATACAGAACAAAGAAAGGTAAAAAACCCAAAGGCAAAACGTAGATGAAAAGAAACAGGTTAAATTAAGCAATAAGAGCTAGGGGAACAAGCACAAGAACCAGCACTCATAACTAAGTCTCCATGTCATTCATGATTTGGAAGTTGGTTGGTGGCCCCAAAGAAAACCTGCTATGCATGTATAAGTGCAGGTGTGTGTACGCCATGGTGCACACATGGAGATCAGAGAACACCCCGTGGGAGTCAGCTTTCTCACTCAACCATGTGATTCCAGGGGATCAGACTCAAGTCATAAGGCTTGGTGGCATGTATCTCTACTCACTGAGCCATCTTCATGGCCTAGTTCCACTTTTTTTTTTTTTGAGACAGGGTTTCTCTGTAGCTTTGGAGCCTATCCTGGCACTCACTCTAGACCAGGTTGGCCTTGAACTCACAGAGATCCTACTGCCTCTGCCTCCCGAGTGCTGGGCTTAAAGACATGTACCACCAATGCCAGGCCCTAGAGTTCCACTTTTAAAGTACTCTATTGGCTGACTTTTTTGGAAAAGCACCCATGCATATGGTACAACATCTGCAATGTACAGTGGGAACTAAAGCATGCTACCCCTTCCCTCAGCACCTGTACATCGGGACAGCATTTCTCCAAAGCATCTAGATGCACACAGCTTTATTACCTTGACACTGGGTATTTTGTTGTTGTCTGTTTGTTTTTGCTTTTTTAGTTTTTCAAGACAGGGTTTCTCTGTATTGTTTTGGAAGCTGTCCTGGAACTCACTCTGTAGACCAGGCTGGCCTCAAACTCAGAGATCCTCCTGCCTCTGCCTCCTGAGTACTGGACACTGGGAGGCAGAGGACACCGGGTCTTGAAGATATTTCTGTCAGTGGTGAGTAGTCTGTCATAGCTGTAGTCATAAGCCAATCAACTACTAAGTGTTTCTAACCTTCAACTTTCCCACAGTTTAAACATACTTCACCTTGTATATTAGATATTATAGAATAAATTCCTTTATGTGATACTTCTGAGAGGATATTTGTATTTTTATTGTTGGATATAAACTTGCTACAATAAAAAGATAGAGAACAGTGTTCGCACTGCATGTATGACAGATAGCACCTGCTTCCCTGCTGATTGATGGTCAGTGTTTCTTCACTGTGCTGGATTTCTGCCAACTTTTTATATCTTGCTGACATTTTAAAATGTTTTTCTCTTTGCTGGGTGTGGTGGTTCAAGCCTATAAGCACCCAGGAGGATGAGATAAGAAGATTACAGTTTGAAGCCAGCCTTAGCTAAATATGCAGACTCTTTAAAAAAAAAAAAACATTCTTATTAAGTGACCAGCTGAGCAATGGTGGCACACACCATAACCTCAGCATTCGGGAAGCAGAGGCAGGTGGATCTCTGTGAGGCCAGCCTGTTCTACATAGCTAGTTCCAGGACAGCCAAGCCTACACAAAGAAACCCTGTCTTGAAAAATCCAAAATAAGTAAATAAATAAGGAGTGACTACTTTGTTTTACTTGTGTAAGAGCTACTGGGGTGGGTAGGGTGATAAAGGGCTCAGTGGTCAAGCACTCTTGCTCTTACAGAGAATTGGGGTTCAATTCCCAGCACCCACATGGCAGCTCACACCCACCCAACCCTCCTTCTGACCTCTGAGGGCACCAGGCAGGCATGTGGTGCACAGATGAACATTCAGGCCATCTTTCAATTTTAACAAGAGCGATTCGTGCGCAAGGAGGGTGTCAATCTGGACCCCTAGCACTTGAGGCAAAGCTAGCGTGGAAGGCAGAAGCAGGAGGGCCTCGGAGTTCATGGGTTAGGATGTCTAGCCATCTGGAGAACTCAAGGTGCAAGAGCTTGTCTCTAAAACCAACCTGGGGAGGCCTGGGTGTGGTGGCACACCTTTAATCCCTGTATTTGGGAGGCAGAGGAGGTTAGATCTCTAAGTTCAAGACTAGCCTGGTCTACAGAGCAATTTTCATACATTCTAGGGCTACATAATGAGACCATATCTAAAAACAAAGCAAAAGCTGGAGACCGACAGCCATCCTACCACCTGTGGCCCCCGCACAAACCAGCACGCATACACACTAACCCTCAACAAGCACTACTGGTAAGCTGGGTTAGTACACAGGCCTGTAAACCCTGTCTCAAAACAAAAAAGGGAAAGGGAGAAAGCAAAGGAATATTTGCAGTTTCTTTCCAGAGTCTTCCCCAACCGAACAACATCCCATCAGGGCTGGCTCAGTTCTCCAGTGCCAGAAACCAAAAGCCACAAGGCTGTTTAAACAAGCTATGTCCATTAGAGATCGAGGCACTTCTGAAATGATACTAAAGGGCTCTTCTGGTCTTCTGTCAGTGAGCTCCTCAGCAGTTCCCACAGCAGACAACAGGCCAACCTTAAGCTTCTCCGCATCAGCAACTCTGAGCCAAGGAGCCAGCGGGCTGCTTGTACCATTTACAAGAACGGCAGGAAACAAGCTGGACAGTCCACAACTGTGGCGTACACCGAGGAGAAGCAGACACTTTCTGGCTAGGGCCTCCATGCCTGCTGCTCCAGGTGTGTGCCACTGCCAGAAAGGCAGGCTATACTTAGAGCAAGCATCACGTGATGGTGGCAGGTCACAGTAAACAGTAAGGACTGGGGTTACACCCCCAGCTGCATGCCTGTTCTGTGTGCCTGGTGAAACTTACATGGAGCCAAACTGCACCTGTTCACCCACTGCTGCATACAAAGGCTTGGACTTTAGTCTTTCCAGCAGTTTCCTTTGTAGATGACAATGATCAAAGCCACACATATGTGGCTAAGGCTGAAGTGGCCACAGACAGCCCCAGAAGCACATGGCCATCAGCCCTGACCTTCAGGATGAAAATAAAGTGAAAGACAAGTGCACTTAGTTTTCACTTTGCTCAATTGAAACATTTTATGTGAGCTGTGTCTGGTTTTCCTAAAGGCTGATTTTCTGTCGCCCTCTTACAAGCAACCTGCAGTGTCCTCTGCTGTGGGCGGGATGAAGTGTTGCACACTGAGACAACTCTCACAGCAGTTGTGTCCTATCTCATCCTGAGTGTGCCATCAGGTCAGGCCGCCCTGGCCTGGACAAGGAACACCAAGGGCAAGTCAGCCACGCTTCTTGCTAGGCAGACACTCCCTTCATCAAACCCCTCCCATGCACCCCAATTCAGTCCACAGCCAGAGCAAGGAAAACTGCTCAACCTTACCTGCTTGGGACAGGTAACTCGGCCAGGAAAAGACTAAGAACACTCTTAAAGTTCAAACTTACAATCAAAGGAGTGAACTGAATGCTGATCAGAGGTTGGAGGGAGGTGACAGAGCAAATCATTTTCCAGAGACAAGGCAGAAGGTTGACTGAGGCCACCAGGCATGGCTGCATACCTCCTCAGGGTTCCAGTCACTTAGATCGGTGCCCTGGGCAGAGCCGGAGCAAGACCAATCAAAGAGTTCCAGTTCAGTGACAGCATGTGCACTCCAAACAGTGCATTCTGCGGCTGGCCATGGGAAAGGAAGAACACTGGCTCTGACTGAGCCCCAACTGCAGAGTTCTCAGTGTTTCCAGGCAGCAACAGTGTTCAGTACGGTAAAAACACCATAGGACCAGTGGAAAGTGGGGAGGGTCCAACACTGCATAGACCCAAAGTGCCTGAGAACTAACCTGAGCCACAGTATGAGACCCTGATCCCAAAACAGCAAAGAGAGTATGGAGGGGTCTGGAAAGATGGCTCACTGGTTAAGGTGTTTGCTGCCAGGGCTGACAACCTGAGTTCCATCACCAGAACCAACAGGGGGGAGGGGCTCGACGGAACCTGACCCCTGAACAAACCTTCCTTGGCTCCCACATGCAGTTGTGGCTACCATGTATTCACACGCATACACGCGCAGGAAAGGCATAAGAGAAAAATGTAAAAAGACACTTTTATTGGGCTGAGGAAACAGTTCAGGGGTAGAGTGCTCAAGATGCATGCAGCCCTAGATTTAACCCTAGTACTGCAAAAACAAACATGAAACCACTAAGCATAAAGCAGAGTCATTCAATTACATAACTCACGGCTCCACAGTCAGAGCCGGCAGTGTCACCGGCTGTGCAGCTCCTGCCACTGTGCTCTACCCTTTACCCCAGTCTGCCCTCTGCCCTCAGACCCACATGCCAAAGCACACTGTACGGAAATTACAGCTACTCATCAGCAACCTTCAAACACAAACCACCCTGGACTATCTAGCCACGCCCTGTGTTCACTTTAGCTTCAAGAGACAGATGGCAGGAAGATGGAGAAGCGGAGCCACAGCCAACAACGCCTGTGGCTCTGGAAGCAGGATCCCCAGAAGGGAAACCCTCCACTCTAGCTCAGTCAGACCAGGTTCAGGCTGCTGACCTACATAACTATCAGAAAGATAAATTCGCACATGGAAGCTAC